TGTGGCTACTTTTTCTTTCTGGTCTTGAAACTGGCTTCTTTGCGCTTCTGCTTTATGCTTCTAGCTTCTGATGTTTCAACTATTTTTTGGCTTGTAGCTTTCTCCTGCTTTTTCGTGTGGCTGCGTACCTTTCCCCTGCTGCTGCTACTGCTTCTGCTGCTACTGCTTCTGCTGCTGCTACTACTGCCACAGCTACTATCACTTCACCAGGACTAGACTAATACTGTACTAGTTCCCAATGTCGCTGTGTCATATTGAGCTCTGCTGGTTGTAGAGAGACCCAAGCCCCAGCCCGTGCCCAAGGAGCTTGAGGACCTGGCTCCACGGCCAGAACAGGCAGCACATCGTGTCAACATGTGTCATGCACAAGCTTCTCCGTTCGAATGTGGACGCTCTTCTCGCAGGTATCGCATTGGGGAAATCGTGTTGAGGAAGATCCCACTAATGGGTTCGCAATTGGCAAGCACATGTGTGAGTTAGGGTAGTGGCATTCCCTTAGCCCTCTATAGCCCTCTGAAGCTGCCCCCGATGTGTTGAGAAGAGATAAGGCAGGTAATCAGGTGAAACGTGTGCTTGGCCAGGGAGTTTAGTGCAGAGTTGTGTGACAGATTCTGAAAATACTTCATTTGGGTTTGATTCATCCAAAGAGCCAGCGAGTTTACTCTGCTTGCCTCATCACCTCTAGGTCTTGTAGCCACCTCTCAACTTCTTATTTTGACGTCAGGAGAGAGCAGGACGAGACTGCTAGATCTTAACTGCACGAGTCTTTCAGCCCGACCAGTGAAGCCGTGAAGTCACAGAATACACTCTCAGCTTCTGTGTGGTGATATGTGTTGATTCGACGTCCATTTTCCCAGGTGTTATCGGCATCGGTGCCACAGGAGGCTGCCAGGCTTCAGCCCATCTCTGCCTCCCTTCTTTTGCCTTCCAGATCAGGCAACATCAAGACGCTTTCGGCACACTTGCGATTTAGAGCTTCGCTTGTGGTGTGGAGCAGGCCCCTGGTGCCTTCCATCGTTTCGCAGCAGGACCGCTCGCGGTGTGCCACATCGTTTCAGCACCCGGACTAGTGGATGTCCCAATATAATATCCCAGCAAAGAGTTGGATCTTGAAGACGTGCCGTTTAGTTGTGCTACAATAGAGTGAGACGGGCAGAATACTAGGGTTTCTGATTATGCAGATGTCTGCCTGCGACACTGTAAAGAGTCTGCGAGACGGCAATCTAGTCTGACAGGCTTTGGCTCCAGAGATTTGCAGATTTTCTGGCTTTACTGACAGGAAGCACAAGCAGCACTGTCACGTCCTCGAGCATATGTGTGAGCGGAGGGAGCAGCATGGGCCAGGGCCGAGTGCGAAGCGCCACCACGGCTTTAGGGTTACAGCAAGTCGCTAAGGCCCGCTGCAGACACGTTGGACAGCAGCGACGAGGTGATCCGCTCATGTACTGAAGTCGGGGTCCCCGCGAAAAGCGCCGTGCCTGCGCACGACGCTCCAGCGACGCGAGGAGGAAGTCGATGTTGATCCGGTGCGGCCACAGGCCGGACCGGAGGCCTGCAAGAGTCTGGGCCCGGGACGTTCTCGCTTGGCAGGCACCACTTCCTCCGGTCAGGCCTGCTTTGAGGGATTCCCGTAGGGGCAAGGGATTGCAGCAAGAGTTTGGAGAGGACAGCACCGTAAGCAGTGTTGCCAGGCGCCTGCGCGAGTCTATCGGAGTGCGCACCATTAAGTTATTCATTTTACATTCAACTGCTGTGCAGCAACGCCTGGCTCAGGCCGTCTTCCGTGTAGCTGAGACGATGCCGTTCCAGTGTTTGTCGTTGAGCATCAGCTTCCTTGTCTGGTCAGGGCGCCGGTCCCAGCCATCCCCAAGAAGGCACAGCTGGCGCAGCCAGCTCTGGACGACACAGAGCTGGGAACCGCAGCCCGTTAATCCCTGACGGTTTAGCAGTGCCAGGAGCTTTCCCCTCCCATCCCCAGAGTGAGCGGACAGCATCGCTTGCTGTTGCGCTGGGCATGGGCTACAGTTGGCAGCGGGAGTATCCTCACGACTCACGTTCGCATTCCGACGTCCGGGCTTTCAAGTGACGTAGCAGGCAGTGCTTTTTCGAGAGGTGCCTTCACTCTCCTTCGCTGGCCTCCGTCCATCGCTTCAGGGATGTCGGAGACTTAGAAAAGATCGTAGGCCCCGGACGGGTTCATGGCTCTGGCTCTTCCCAGAGCCTCCGATTCTCAGGTTCAGGCCTTGGAGCGCCGCCACCCGAGGAGCCGCAGCTTGTGATCGCTTGTGTTTAGAGAGTCTCTGCCTCCGACTGCGGTTTCAGCATGTCAGCATATGTCCGCATTTTTGGATAAGCCACGAAAGCTCGCGTAGCTGCAGGAGCCAGGCCAGTCGGATCCGGCATCCGCACCGGCGCCTCCTCCGCAGGACCTTACGCACTGAAGGCAGGCCACACACCATCTTGCACGCTGTCGCTCCAGGAGGCCACGACGTCACCCCCCATGGAGGCCGGAAATTACCGGTCCAGCGTACGCGGTTCTCCTGCTGGTAGTCTTTCTTTTCGACATACCTTCAACCTGCAGTGTACCGGACCAGGGCTTCCTAAGCAACGAGCGGCGAAGCTGTGCAAGGTACCAGACGAAAACTCAAGCTCCGGTGAGGATGTCCGTTGCCGGTTTCAGGGCTTTTCAAGAGATTCCATATAGCACGACGGCATCCTTTGAGGGGCGTCGTTTAGCAGCACTTTACTGGTCGGTGAAGCTTACAGCTTACATTTGACATTTCGCAGGACAGCTCGCTCGCCGACGAGGACGGGCTTTGCAGAATAGATCATGCAATCAACTGCAGCCGGCACTCGCGCCGCACGCAAGCTTGCTAGTTATCGCGATCGGAGGACATGACACAAAGCAAAAAGGATGAGGCAGGGCAGATGGAACTGAATATCCTGCACAGTTGCAGTTCGCAAAGCCGCTGCTGAGCAGCCGAGTATCCGAGCATCTGATGTTCAGCTGGAAGACCTGGCAGGAGCTGGACAGCAGTGATGAAGACCTTTGGGACGAGGCTGTTGCAAGACTTCTCCCGTAGGCCTTAGGTGACAAGAAGCGAATCGGAGTTCTGACTGGGGTCGTCGCGTCGCGGTTTACTTCAACTCGACCGGCCTCGAAGCCATTTCCTATCAAGTTCAAGTGCCAGCGCCAGAGGGCACGGAGAACGCAAGCTGGTAGCTTGATACGAGACCGAACGGACCCCCCCTCAAACCTCAAAAACCTACAGAGCTTACATGAGCTTAAACTCCATCAGAATCAAAGCGAGTCGCGACAGCCTTCCATGGCGATCGAGCTTGCCTCCGACAGCGATTGCGAGGTGCTTGAGGCTCCGGCAAAGAGGCAACTGCCCGAAATCGCTTGCCCACTGCCTCTGACTCTGAATGGTTGGACGTCAAATCTTGCTCTTGAGGCTCTAGACTCTAGCGATGCTAGTGCGTGCTGAGATTGTGTGCCGAGAGGATCAACCAAGTCCTGACCAACCGCACCCACAGTTTCGAAGGTCCCGGCAACCACCGAGCTTGGATGCAGCGCTTCGGCACGTCTTCCTCCCTCCAGACCTGCCGCCGGTGCCCGACTGTGAGTTTAGCTAGGCTCTGGCATCGTCGCCTCCCCTTTGGTGCAGCCTTTTTTCTCGGTCGTTTAGTTGCTCGCACAGCCATCGACATCTTGGCACACAGCCCTCAGATCCGTACGCTGTTGCCGATTCCAGGTGGCACCGCTGCCGACTCCCCAGCGGCCAGCTCGGCCCAAGGTTCCTAAAGCGGCTGGTTCGCGCGGAAGGGGGCTCAAGGCTCTCGCAGCACTCTGTGATACTCTGTGCATGGTTTGGGAGTTTAGGGTTTTGTAAGTGGCATTGAGTGGCGATGTGTCCATCACTCTCACGAAAGCCATGCGCAGGCACTCTTTCGGCAACGCCGAGAGGCACCACCGCCTGCAGTGATTCCAAGCTGTTCGCAGATGGTCGTGTGTGTCTCTTTTCCAGACTGCTGGGATCTTGAGCGGCTCGCACAGTGCGGTCCTCAAGTGAAAGTGAAGCCGCCTGCACTGAAAGGAAATCCAGCAGAAGCAGCTTGGACTTGTCGAGGCACGATGTCTCTGCAGTCACAGAGGCGCCAAGCCGTGTCTGGGCAGGAGCACGTGGCGCCCGCTGAAGCTGAAGGAGCTGAAAGCGAGGGCGCGGCGGAAAGCGGTGCGGTGGCTCTCCCTCTCGGCTCCGGCTCCCAGCGGCTCGGCGCGTGGAAGTTTAGGGTTCTGTCCACAAGACTCTTGGGTGCGAGGTGTCGTGGCCTCGCCTTGCTGATGGAACAGGACTCCCACAGACTCGCATTTGCATGGGTAGCCTTTTTCGGGATGTTGGTGTACTGCTGAGGAATTTGATGCAAGTGAGTTTGTCACATGAGAGCAAGGCATCTCAATCTAGCCAGATCAGGCAGGGCTTCTCCCTGCCCTTGCCGAGCGCATCGCCTGTGCTGCGCGGCGAGGCGAACAGAGAGGTGCGGAAGCGGTTCACATTAAGGAACGTTCAGAAAGGGTATGAGGGTCGTCGCGGCTTCGACCCTGCGAGCCTCCTCAAGCAGGTCGGCACATGCCACGTCACAGTGATAGAACCAACAACAGTCCATGTCCATTGCATACGAGCGCGATTCAGGCAGTGAGAGAGTGCGAGAGAGTCCTGGAGACGCCGGGTCTGGAGTCCGCATCAAACGCACGCGAGCGCGATTGTGGAGCAAATCGAACACTGCGCCACGGCAAGAAGAGCCGCATCTGCACACACGGAACGCGCCTGTGCGCCGCATGCTGCGCAAGCACTTCTTTGGTCAAAGGTGCCATGGCACGGCCTGCTCTTCGGTCCCTGGCGGCTTGTCCTGAAAGAGCGCTGGATGCAGGTTTTGAAGCTCTTCTCCTGTGACGGACTTGTCTTTTGCTCCGATGTACTTACTATACGATTTGTGAGGTGTACAACCTACGCCAGAACGCAGAGCTAGTGCACAAGGCCGGCGACAGGAAGTGTGGAAGCTCTGGATTCCAATCTGGTGGAAGCGTATAGGCTGCGAGTCGGCCATTTAGCGTGTTGCCGATCCTCACCTTACATGCTTTCTGCTGTAATTTCGCTGCCCATGACCCATGGTGATCTCAGTCTGGCATAGGCTGATCATTGATTGCATAACGAAGCAGCGAGGTGAACAGCGGGGAGGTTTCGGTGGAAGCCCTGCTGCGCATGTCGCATCAGGACCCGGGTATCATTCGTGTTTCGAAACAAAGTTGCTTCGTGCTGCATACACGTGTGAGATGTTGATGAGTGACACTTTGGACCTTCCAGCAAGTAGCTTGCGACTTGAGGCTGGCACTGCTGTCCTGTACCCGTCAGCTTGCTCTCAACGACAATCGGCCTAGGACTCGCCATGATGCATCCAGGCATTTCAGGCTCAACGATGCTAGAACTTAAGGCTCCATCCCTGCCTGCATGCAGCTGAGAGCTTGCCAGCAAGGGATCATCGACAGTGTTTTCGCAGGCGGAATTCGATCGTTGTCCTTCCAACCGGTGCAGGGAAGACATTGATCGCATCTGAGCTCATATGCAGACTCGGTCCACAATGTGTCTTTCTGGTGCCGACCTGCCTTCTTGTCGAGCAGCAGTCGCGGGCCATTCGCGATTAGACAGGACGGCAAATTGCTGAGTTCATGGGTGCAGTCTGCCCCCAGGATGTGGGGAGACTATGCGCGCAAGAGAAACACTCAGTCGGCAATGTTTGCCTCGTTGGAGCACTGGTACGGGTCCTCGTGAGTGCTGGTAGCCTCATGGGAAGAGGTCGAGGATGTTGCCACTACATACTTGCAAAGGCTTGGGGAATGCCAGCCGGAGTCAGGCATGTGGCCGAAAGAAGTTCGAGCGGCGTCTTTGCGGTGTTGGCAGAACGTACCAGATTCGTTTCCACGCTTCGAGCATCTGAAAGCTGTGCTACTCTATGAAATTGACAGTCTTGGCAGAAGGCAGGGCTTTTTCAAGGGCATCCTCTTTGTGCAGCAGCGCGTCAATGACCCACATCTTGGAGCATGTGATCGGAGCAGGCCAGGAGTGCGAAAAAGCTCAATCCTGCCTGTATCTATGCAACAACATCGCCTGCGACAGTAACATATCGTGTTTCTGCCACAGAGTCCAAGACTCGCTTCGCCCAGTTTGGCCATGGTGACATCAAGTTGCTTATCACCCCAGTCGTTGCTGAAGAGGGCACGGGCATGGATGTTCTTGCAGTCATTCGGTTCGACCCGATGATCAGTCCTGTGTCTTTTGTGCAGTGTCGTGGACGTGCACGCGGAGCAGATTCTTCTTTCGTAGTGTTTTCTGAGTGACATGATCGACCAACATCGGCTTTGGCGGCTGTGGAAGCTCAACAGATGGAGAACCTCAGCTCAGGATAGTTTCTCCATCTTTCGTTGATGATGTATAGAGCTGTGGCTGTCCGGCAGCATTCTGTGTTGGACCTGCTAGTTTAGTCTGTTGAAGCCCTTTGTGTAAGGATTATGCGCAGCTTCAAGCCTGACGAAGCCGCCGGTGCGACGAGGGACCTGGCAGCACAGAAGTCCCGTGAGCAAAATCCTCCTCAAGTTCTTCTGGCCGCGATGAGACAGTCAACGACTGCCATGGGGATGTTGAATCTGTACTGCAAGAAGCCGAAGGTCGAGCTCCAAGAAGAACTCAGACTGGTTGATAGTGAGTTCAGATGCAAGCTAACATACGAACCTGTTCTTAGATCTCATGAGGCTGCAGGCTCTTCCGGCCAGTTTTTTCGTGCAGCCGATAGCAAGAAGCAAGCGAAAAGAAATGCAGCGATTGCACTTCTGGAGGCTCACATGAAGTGACACGGGTTGAAGCACCGCTCTTTTCCGAATGGCAGAAATCTCGCGCTGTGCTCGTCACATTGCTTGGGACCCGTTTCGGCAAGCCTGTGAGCTTTTCGGGAAGGATTTAGCTGGAACTTCGACAGTGGCGCGCCGCCAGCGCCTCCATGCCGAGGCTCTCCGCGATGTGGCTGCCCGGCATCTGCGACACGAGCAATAATTTTCGGCGACGGCATGCATTCAGAGACACGACTTGCAAGCATCCAGTGAGTTCCTGCCAGTTCCTGTTGTATACAACTGAGGTTGTGCAGGACTTTGTGTTCTGCCGCAGTGTGCAGTGCGGGAGTGTAGTGTTGATGTGAGATTGCCGCCCTCGTGCAGCCCGCATAATTGACCGATGGAACATGAGCGCAGGATCAAAGTACGTTTGCTGTGCGCTGCGGAAACTGTGGATCGGAGGATGCGAGAGGCATGCACCGTGAATCTGCGCAGAGTACTGTCGAAGCCAGCTCTGCGACGTGGAAGACGATGGCCAATGCAGTCAGTCTGCGAAGTGGAAGACGGCTAGTGCAGTCAGTTGCTGCGGTCGCCCGCATGCAGGCGTCATGACGCAAACATCCGGGCCGCAGGACAAGTTTCAAGCCTCGACAATTTATTGACCTTAAAATAAGGTGGCCTGGATGCGGCAAACTGAGTTTTTTCATGTTTGCCCTCTATGGTCGTGAGCCATGTGAGGATGAGGGCTGGAGCCAGATGTCAGTTCGAGGGAGTTGCCCGCACTGCGGCCATGCCGGAGGCTGAGAGGCGACTTGTGGCAGAAACATCCCAGCAGCTCTTAGCTCGTGAGGTCTGGCTTGATGGGAGAGAATAGCGGAAAATTGCGATGGAAGGACTCCCTGCGTTCCCCAGTGCCAAGCAGTGCCAAGCTGAGCTTCCTTCTACGGAACTTGCGCAGGAGCGGCGGCCCTCGGCCTCAGAGCCGGCATCGACAAAGACTTCACGGTCAACAAGAAGCTTCCACCAGGGCAATGCCGTGTGACGCGGACATCCGCAGAGCAGCGTCCTGTGAATATGGGCTCGGCTCTTTGCGCCATAGTTCTAGCGCTGGATTGGCATCCGGACATATCCGGTGTTCAAAGCTCGATGCAAAAAGCAACTCGTTGCGCTGGCTCCCGTGGACAGCGGGCCAGAGGCATCCCGACGGGTGAGAGGCTTGCGTGTCAGAACCCGGACCAATGCGGTGCACATCAAGCCGTGCATGGCTTCGATATTTTGGTCTTGTTGACTTTGTCAGTCGCTCTGTTTCTGCCGAAATTGAAGCATTCTTGGCTTGGGGAGAAGCACCTGTTACAAATAGACTTGCCTAGAATCGTCGTGTTGGAGCCGATAGCGAATTGCTCGACTCCACATTTCGTGTGCTTTGCAGGGTGAGGCGCCCGAAATAAGATCTCCGGCTGCGAGGCTTGGGAGTCAAATTGTCATGCGATGTGCATCAGTTACTGGATGTTCAGGAATCGCGTTTGAGCTGGGCCATTGCGGCTCTGTAACAAATCTCTTCCCTTGAGTAAAGAGACTCTACATTGAGGCTTGCAGCCACGTGATTCTCATGACGAGATCAAGCTCAGATGTGAGGTCCCCCGTCAAGCACGTGCCACAGCTTTCTCTGACGGGGCTGCGCTCCAGCCTCCAGGCCAGCAACACCGGACGGCGGCACAGCTACGTCTTGCTGGTAACTCTGATCTACCTAACTTGACTCGGGGGCTCAAACAGTGCTGCAACTCAACAACTACATACCAAACTCATAGGTGCACAGAGACTCGTTCTGGGGCTCTTATCTGGAGACGTCTCTAAAAATTGTCATGGTCCCCCCATTTTCGCCACACGCTGACAAGTTCCGTCTAGTGCAGGGCTCGGCGCTTATGGGGCTGCCGCCTCCCGAGGAGCCAGGCAGGCCGTGCGTACTCATAGTTCCCTGGGTGAAAGCTGATGGCTTCTCCGTAGGGCCTTATGCACTTCAGTGGTATCTCCAGTGAAGGTGGAAGACATGAAAAGGGACGGCCAATATTTGTGGGATGTTTTTTTCGCCTGTGGGTTTCTTTTTGGCTTCTTTCTTTTGCGCTGCTGCGCATCTCCGCTTCGGAACACGAGCTGTCATTGTCTGCTTCCGCGATTCTCGTCCGCTTTTGTTTGGTGCTCCTGATTCTCCGCTACGGGGCACGAGCTGTCATTATCATTTTCTGCTTCTGCGCTTTTGCTTTTCCGCTTCTCCACTTCTCAGTTTTTGGCCGCCTGCCTCGCTCCGTGCGTCTCAGCTTTTTGGCAAATGCCAGGAACACGCCGCAGCAGGAAGCTTGTCCCACGGAGCACCTCGATGTCTCGCGCCCCGAGTAAGGGAGAGGCCTCAAGCAGTCAAAATGCATCAAGCAACGAACAATGAGAACGAAAGAAGGAAAGACAGGCAGAAAGAAAGAAAGAAAGAAAAAAGAAAGAAAGAAGTACTGACATAACAAAAGAGGCAGAACGGGAGATATAATCAATACATAACGAACGAAGTGAAATATGCAAGAACGAATTGCCGCACAAAGACAAAAGAAATATCGAAATATATAAATTAGGAGCGAAAGCCACAGACAAAGAAAGAAGTAATGAAATACAGAAATACCTAGATAAAGAAGAGACTTAAGAAACAACGAAAGGAACAAAGAAAGACATACTGAACGAGAGAAAACTTTCAAAAGACGGAACAGACAACATGCGCATAAAAGCACAACAAAATAGTGAGTGACAGGAAACAGAAATAATGAACCAACAACTGTACGTATACACACACGTTTACATACATGTACTAAACATGTGCATGTATACACACAAACAAAAAAGACCGATAAACCGCCATCAAACAGAACATACACATAAGACATAAAAGCTTAGATACATGACGAACCAGTAACTACTTAATACACATACAGATATATATATATACATATATGTACATATTACATATCTAAGAAGGTCTATATACATACACACACACACATATATATATATACATATATGGTCAGGCGTCTGGCGTTCCCCCCCCCCCCTCCCCCCCCCATGGTATGGTCTGGTAG